TAATCAAGTTTTATTCTGTAGTTAAGATTGACTGAGCAATGCCAAACAGAGCCCACAGTCCAGAATAAAAGGTTTCTAGAAGCAAAATGTTTACTCTCAAAGACTTGGTGATTTTTTCCAACATCAAATAATTGATGTCCTAAACACATATATTAATAAGCATATTGATTTAAGCAAAAAGTTACACTCATGAAGAGGAGCATCACTTCTGCATCAGAACTATCCCATCACCCAATGAATCAAACACAGCCACTCTTTCCTCCAACTCTGCTATGAGAGATTTTTTTCCACCATTGCCTCAGTATCAAACTGAAGAATCTGCTTCACATCAAACTTCTCTGCTACTTGTTTAGTAATGCTACCCGAGGAAGGCTTTCCCCCTGCTGATAACAGGCAAGCTGGTAAAAACTTTGACTGTAACTGATTACAAATAGAAACAGCCACCTTGCCTATTCTCCTCTTCTAATTCACTCATTTATGTGATGAAACTACACCAAATAAGGACACTGAATCGTCTTAAGCTAAAGCCCTATTTGATTGTACAAACTGATACTGCTTAATATATTTTTAATTTATTATACAATGGAGGCCCTGCATCAATACCAGCATCAACCGTACCTGAGCACTTTGCCCATGTACCTATCTTAAGTCAACAGTTCCCATCAGTTTCAACCTCCTAACTAAGCTCTACTTACCATCAATACATAAGCCTTTCCCTCCTCCCAACTGATGCATGTTCTTCCTCCTATTGGTATTTAAATAAGCCCGCTTGTTAGAGGTTAAGCTGAATAACATGTATAGATACTTGAGACTACATGCAGTTTATAGTCATTATAATGATACTATATATAGACTGAGATAAGCCTGAGGTTCAGGGATGAAAAGTGAACAAGACTACATAAGGTAAAACAGCAGCCAGATAGATGAAAATTCTATTAATTTCATTTCTTCTAGCTGCCAATGCTATTTTAAACTAATCTAGTTTTTATCTGAAGATCATGGCCTCGAAAAAACAAAGTATCAAACTGTGGCTACAGACTTTTAGAAACAGATACATATTCCTAAATCAGACACTACTGCATTAAAAAAAAAAAAAACAACAACAACACAACACTAAATATGGGAACAACAGAGGAAATCTTTAAAACTTCTCTCATGAAAGAAAGCAAACTGTGAGAGCTTGAAATAGTAAACAAACGCTTGTATTTCTCTGGGTTTGGATCCCAGCAATTCAGAGCTCTAGTTTCAATTCTCCAGCTCATCCATCCAGTTCCAGCAGTTAAACTTATTTTAAAGACCATGAATAAGAAAATACTGTCTCCCATGTTAGTCTCAAAACAATGCACCAGGAAAAAGAAGAACAGAGCAAGCAAATAATATGACTTCAACTATTTCTAGTTCATAGGATTTGTTGAATTTGATATATTTAGATTCAGAACTCTCTGCAGATCTCTCCTCCACAATCCTGCCCAACCTGTCCTCGAGCCTCCAACCTTATTCTATCTATGACTGCCTTTAGAGTTCCTGAGCACTGCTGCTAACTCTTAGAAAGGTTAATTTGACAGAGCTTACTTCTCATATAGGAGGATACTGCAAACAGGCAGGGTCATATTTGTCCTTCCTTTAAGAGACTTGATTTTTGTGTCTTTACAAGAAGTGGTCCCTCTTCCAAGGCTGGAAATCCTGAAAGGTCATCAAACCTCCTCTAACCATCCTTTTACACTTCTCCTACCAAAATACTTTCTCTGAAGACTTAAATATGCCAACATACAGCTCGTGCAGAGGGGACTATGACTACGCTGCTACCCAGGTTACTTGAAACTACAGGAATCTTCATACATACTCCAGTCCAACACTACTGTAAAATAAATAAATAAATAAAAAACCCTACATTACAAGAACTGGCCACTGACTTCTGCCCTCATTATCACCAAACAAACCAGTTAAGAGGATCCATTTGTTTCGTATGTTCTTCCAAGATGATAGTAGACTGCTTGCATTTTCTGCTATCGTATTTATTTGACTTCTCTTCAAAATCCATGCTTAATCAAAAATGCTGCAGCCATATCAGCTGCATAGCTTTCAGTTGAAACCTGCTAATTTCTAAACCAAAGTGATTTTCAAAGCGCCGCTGGAATTTCATTAGTGCTGAGCAGTTGTAGTAATCACATCATAGACAGAAGCTCCAAATCAGCTCCCCACCTCAAAAACAAACTCCGAAAAATATTCCAGAACAAACAACTTAGCAAGTCTGCTAAAGAATTAAAAAATAACATATTTTTAGCCACAGGCTAACTAACAGCCTTCTGTAAGTATTTGCACATTTTCTTACTGATTTTACAATACACAGATTTGAATGTTCCCATCAAGGTCAGCTTTTAAACACGAAGAAGCTGCAGATACTTGTTATACTTTCATCCAATCAGAACCGAAAAGTAAAACTGTTTCTCTAACAAACTGAATGAAGTAGACATGCGGAACATAAATAACTCAACATGAATACTGACAGCTTGACCAAAGCAGCCATTTCTCCCATATCAGCTTACTAATTTGCAGAGATGTCACCTGTACTCACATTTTACTTGAACTTATAGGGCGTGGGGACACGTGATTAGTTTTGTTTACTCAACGCCTCAATTCATCTGTGGTACAGCGCTATTTTTATACAAACCATCTCAGAGCACATTCACAACTGCAAGATTTACATGAGATTGAGGCATTGTTTTGTGCTTTTTTTTAATTATCATCTGTTTCCTGACTGACGAATGCTCCTTTCCTCACATCTCCTGCTACTAACAACAGCACCTTTGGCCTCCCAAGCTTAAACCTATGCAAATTTGCCTTGGTGAGATGCATATTAGCTGGGAGCAAGCACTCATCAAAAATATTGATTAACTATGTAATAGTATAACTATATAAAGTTCTTCTTATTGTGTTCCTATGATTAATATGATTCACAAATTGAAACTAAGTATCACACAAATTCATAGACTATTGAGAATCTTTGTATCTATACAGAGCCCAAACCACACACATTATTTCTGAGCCAAGAGAACCCAGGATATTCAGGACATTCTCCCATGATGTTAAACTTAACTTATGCTGTCACAAGCAATCTGAGCCAATGAAGCTTAAAACATAGGAGTTCTTTTGCAATTCAGAAATTGTTTGCAATTTAAGGGTTCTTCCAGACCCCAAACTTGTTCAACCACCACATAAAAGTAAAAGAGTTGTCTTCCTCTGGCTAAAAAACTAGGCACTCCAAGCAGAGCAAGCACTGCCAACAGTAACCATACTTCCTCTTCAATCAAACCCATTAAAATGTACTCTGCAGATCACTACCTCAAATCATCACAGAGACTAAGAGCTCACGAAAATCCCAACAAACTGTACTGTGAAAAAGGCATTTCACTGAGACCTCGTGTCACAAGTTCCCCATATAATCAAAGAAAAACACTCCCCAGTCCCAGCAGTCCTGTCTCACTATACAATACAGTCAACAGAAGTGTTCCAGCTAAGTCCTCCCCTTTAGAACAGAGGGAAAGTAGCTAGAAAGTAAAATCCAGATCTCTAAGGCTCTGGGAATCAAGCTGCTTTAGACTGAGAATAGTACAGTATGCTCAGAACATCCTCAAAACTGCATCTAACTTGATAGAAGTTCAGAAGCAAGCTTCAATATGCGTCCCAGAAGTAGGAAGAAATACAGAGACCCACACTGACTAGCTCAGCTTCACCTTCGGAATGATTAGTTTAACGCTGTTTCGATCTTACTTTAACATACACGCATTTACACAGAGATTTACATAAGCCTTTGTATCGCTTCAGTTGAATCACAATACAGGATTTTAAACCTAATTATCACAACCACCATTAGTATTTTCATCTTGTTAGCATCCTTGTTGGCAAATAATTTAATCCTTCTTGAAAGCTTCTAATTAAGGGATGGCACTGCTGTTTACAATTTGCAACAGTGGCAAAAAGAAAACAACACAACCACACCTGTAACTGTAACCTTTCACTCCCTTTTGTCTCCTTCATTTCCACAGACCTGCATTCTTTCAGAAACTGCACACAAGCAAAGTTCATTTGAAGACTGAAGGTGCCATGGCTTTACATTGAGAAAAGCCTGTGCCAACTCTTCTTTGCAAATGGTTTATTCCAAACAACCAATCCATCTTAAAGGATGATCAGGTCCAAAACTAATAGGTTTTACTCCAGCAAGCTTTTACACGAGCAGTTCCATTAAACAGGATTACTTGTTAGTATAACACTATGTTAATTGAGATCATCATGTTAGTTGTGGTCATTATTATTCACGTTTCATATAGTCATACATACTAATAATTAAAGTCAGAAATACGAGGTATCATAATGCACAAAAAGTAACTGTGGAAATCTCCAAAATCCCAAGTATTTCTATTCTTTAAAGCAGTCTTATGATTAAAGACACTACTCAGCCATTTCTGGAGCCCAAACATAGAGACTATTATTCTGAAAGGTGCTAGCTGTGAACAAAGATCAAACTCACAGTTTAGCTGCTGCAAACTGTATGTTGACACGGATCCTAGGTTAACATCTGCTTGGTGACACCTCTTCAGCTTGGAAGTATTGAATCCTAAATGGGCCCATACGGTTTATGGCTATGTGAGCCAGATACTTGAGAAGCCATTCAGTTCCATTCAGTGCGACTGCACAAGATTAAATACTCACTGCGTCACACTAACATGATGAAGCACTTCTTCACCCCTTCAGAAAACATATATTCCAACTTGCAAGAAATGCCTCAAGCGTTCCCCATCACAAAAGCACTACAAAGAGGACGTCGGACATCATCTCGTTCTGTTTCTAACACCGTGATAACGACAGAACTTCCTGCTCTGCACTAAACCAAGCCTAGAGGCCCACGTACAACGGAAACAAACCCTCTAAGAACGGGAATCGCCACCCCTAGTAATCACCGATTGCTCCCCAAGCCGTCGTACCACAGCTCCCGTTCTTACCTCAGACCGCTGCCCGGCTCCCCCCGCGCCGCTACAGCAGGGAGCTGCCGCGCAGCGTGCGCGGTGCAGCCGCAGCCGAGCAGGCCGGAGCGCCGCGAGCCGAGTGCTGCTGCTGCCGGCGGCTCACGGCGCGTCAAAGCGCGGGCAGCGGCGCCGTGCCGCGCGCGATGCAAAGCAAAGCCGTGTCACAGCGCAGAAATCGCTGCGACGCGCCTAACGCGCTCCGGACGGTGCAAGGAAAATCTGAGCCGCAGCATAGCTGAAATACATCACGGAAAATAACATCCCAGCGCTTTCCTCGCAGCCCGCAAATACGCCCGACTGAAGCCGACACCGCGGGCCGAACGGGGCCGGCCCGCTCGCCCGCCGCCCACATGGCCCCGCGCACACCTGGGGTAGGGCTGGCGGCTAGCAGAGCCCCGCCGGCACGCAGCATGCCCCGGGGCGCGGCCGTGCCCGCGGGAGCCGAGCCGGTAGGCAGAGCCCTCAGCGCCCCTCCCCTCTCTCCGGCCGCACGGCCTGCGGGGCCGGAGATGCCACGGCCCCCTCCCGCCACCCCCCGCTGCCGCCGGCTGAGGGACGCTCAGCAGCGCAGCGGCACTCACCGCCGTGCCGGGCACAGGCCGGAGCCGCCGCCCCCTCCTCAAGCCGCGCCGCGCCTCGCCGCGCGCTCAGGTAGCGGCCGCCGCGCGCCCCGCCCCGCGCCGCGCCGCCCCGCCCGGATGGCCCGGGAGGCAGTGGCAGAGCGCTCGGCCCCGCCGCGCATGCCTGCCGCCTCCCTTCCGCGTCCCCCGCCCCACCCCGGCGTCACGGCGGGCGGAGCGCGGCTTGCCCTCCCCGCGGCCGTCAGGAGGTGGTGTGAGCGGTCTGACCTTCGCTCTCTCTCCTGGGGGGGCTGCACGTCTGCCCTGAGGTGGCCGTTAGCAGGGCGGAATAACGGGCTGTGTGTTACAGCGTAGGCAGATAGGCCTGCAGGTATCCCAGCTGTGAGGGAGGCACGCAGAGCGCTCAGATGTGCCCGCTGCATGAAGAGCCCGAAGCAGTGCTGCCAGCCAGGTGGGGCCAGGCCTTTCTTCTTGTTGCACTGCTGGTGGCGTCTCCTGGCCTGATGTCCCACCAACAGCTCAAAGCTTCAACAACAATCAACAATCAAAGCTTCTACACTGTTCTTTCCCTGGGGCTCCTTACGCTTGCTTCGGTGACTGTAGTGGCTCTGTTGATACCCATGCCTTTATTTGGGGCACATGTTTCTGCTTCTTTCCTGTTTGGGGATTTTTGTTTCAGCATCTGCATTTCTGTGCTTGAGCTTCAGATCTTCAAAGTTTCATTTCTCTGTTTTGGCTGAAATTTAGCATAATTTCTTAACCCTTGTACACCTGCTTTGCAGCCCTCCCAGAAGAGGAGGGCCATGCGGTAACTTCAAGCTGTGCTCATGTGGAAGAAAAAAAGCCCTGTTGCTGATAAGCATCATTTGGTACAGCCTCCTCCTAGCAGTCAGGCACGCTGCCCTGGGTGAGCCTTCCTGGCAGTGTCAGCCCCACCAGCACCTTTGCACACATGGGCTGAGAACTCCAGTACATCTGCCCCATAGGCAGCGTAAAGGCCTTCTTAAAAATAAGAAACACCAGCCAAAGCTTTTGTATGTCTTTTAGCCTGAACTTGAATGTACCCATCACATTAATGGATTTATTCTTAGAACAATTTGGAGCATAATTGTTCCCCGATGGTACAGGAAGAAAAAGAAATCATAAGTGGAGAGATAAAATCTCTTGCGCAAAGCTGAAGAGATAGCAAAGCCAGGAAATGAGCTCAGATTTCCTGAGTCAGGCGGCCTTGCTTTAACCGCACAGTCATCCTCTTTCAGTCATTCTCAGCTTCTGAGCTATGATGTAAACATCAACAGCATTAGCACAGATTTGACTTGTTCCTACTTTGTACAGAATGACTTTACTGTTCCCACTGAAATTTCCTTCAACTTCTCAATTTCCTTCCCAAAATTAAGATAAATTATATCACAGACTGACCAGAGTATTCTTAAATTCCCACTGCCTTTCTCAGGCCCTGGCAAGTAATGTCTTCATCCTCAGCACTGTAAATACCTGCTCAGAAAACAATTGTGGAGCCTCAGTGGTGTAGCTCTAGGTGAAACTGATTAAGGAACAAATTGTTCCCTATCATCATGCTTTTCTGCCAGATCAGAGGACCAGGAACACTTGTAGCAGCACAGGAGAGCACATACACTGTCTGCTGACCTGGAAATGGTGGTAGAATCACCTTGTTAACTCCTACTATTCAAAAATTATTATGAAGGCAAACTCTAAATTAATATCTATCTATCTATATATATATAAAAGAAGAATAGCCTAGAGATAATTCAGGGTAGACTTGAGAACATCTACTATGTGTTCAGACATTTAACAAATTGCCACAGTGCTTTTAGAGCTTCATAATTAAGATGCAAAACTCATAGCTGTTTCGAATAACTTCAGAAGGGGACACATTACTTGTACTTGAGCTTCTGACTGCTGAAGTAAAAGGACAGTCTTGAGAGTCCTACTGTCAGACTACAGACTAAGATCTAGCCATGATCAAGTGCGCTATCTTTCCATATCAGTTTAATATTTGATGTGTCTTCATCTTGAGGACTTTCTGTTCAATTGATTTAAAGTGATGTTATTGTCCTGGGAGATGGACTAGAAGCTCATTCATCCGCTTCACGTGGTGCAGAACTGTGCTGCTACTTCCAAAAACCACAGACGTGGCAATAGATGTGAAGAACACACGGAGAAGAGTGTGAGAGCTGGATGAGTAGAGTGTGCCATTTGCACAGTTACTGTGCCACCCTCCATCAGTTTGCAGATCAGGGACTTGTTATCCAAAGATGGATGTTCCCATTGGTTTGTTCAGGTTTCGGCAAATGCAGGGAGCAGTAGGAAGGCCTAGTTTTCCCTGTAATAAGCAAGTATTTTGAGAGTATCCAGCCATAATCTTGCTGGTTCCTTCATCTTCAGCTGACTTGCTGTACACTACCTCATTACTAAGTAATAATACTATCCCTCAATTTGTCCTAGCTAAAATAAAGCCATTTACATGGTTTTCATAGAGTCACAGCACAGCTGAGGCTGGCAGGGTTCTCTGAGTCAAAGAAACAAAATCATAAAGTGATAGAGGCTTAGGTTGGAGGGGATCTCTTGCCTTTTCAACTTGTACTTTTGTAAACCATGTAAATAACTTAATTTTCATAGTACCTTAGAAATATGTATTAGAACAAGTTCGAAAAGTTGATTAACTTGTTTTCTGAAATAATGAAGACAGAAAACAATGGGCAAATGTCATATACAGAAGTATCTGCATGACTGTGCTCATATATGTGTGTTTACTATTTCTGTGCATTAGGTCCACAAAAAACACAGTTTTGTATAACAAATAATTGTATGATAAATTCAATAATTATATATTTAATTTCATATTACATAAACTTAGTAATTACTATATATGTATATATATGTATAATTTAATAATTTCAGTAGGAAATTCTGCTGGTTGCAAGCTGAGGTCTTTACCAGTTCACCATCACTGCATCTTCTTTTGCGTACATGTGGGAAAACAGAAATGAGCAGAAGCTCACTGCTGAGATATGTGATAGCCGAGCTGCACTTCCGTCCTGTATTTTTCATACTTGGTTGAAAGAGAATCCAGCTGTACTGAAATGAAGTGCTGAGCATTAGACACGCTTTCAGACATTACTGCTACCTACTGCTTTCTAAATCCATGCACAGGATAACATTTAAAAAAGAACTGTCCGTTATCAGTCACGCAGCCACATTGTTATTTAGGTACTTGGCTCAGAGGTTTGCCTTGGACTTCCTAAGACAAAGTTCCCATATTTATGTTTTTATCATGTGCTTGATGTTATCATTTCTCTGCTGGGGCAGTGCTGTTGAAGAATTTGCCTGGACCAGTTCAGTGAGAACTGAGTTAAAACCTTTCTGGGGCAATCCTTACACCATGCCACTGCTGTTGCCCTTTCTTCTAAGAGCTGTCCAGCCATAATGCTTCAAAACACCACATCAGTCTAAGTGATTTAGACCTGCTTAGCTGTAACAGACTAGTTAAACTACTTCATCAGTCTAATTAAAACTACTTTGTAAAATACTGCCTTTTTCTCTGCACGTCCTCAGTAGCCGTGTTTCCACAGTATGCAAAAGCATTTCTAGGTAGCAAATAAAATTATATCATACGTGCCTAAAATCCAACTATGCAGTATTTCATTTCTTTTAAAATATGTTTCCCTCAGTATCTAACTGTTAAAACAAATTAGCATATATTTCATTTAAGTCTGATATAGCTTATTTTTAATTCCAGCTTAGTTGGTATGCACATAGCCTGAATGCCCCAAGGAATACAAATGTCTAACATTTCCTCTGAGTCAGTAGGAATTTTGAGGCTCCTGACACATGGGTAAAAAAATTTTCTTTCAGCTTGATTTATAGGTATGGAAATTATATCACTTTGTATAAATAAAAATTATTCTAAATCAGGCTGGAGAAACATTTTCACCACAGTTTGTTACTGAAATGTTGACTAATAATCTCAGAATCCAAAAATATCTTTCCAGTACTGACATTATTATGGAAATTTATCTAGTGTGTTTGAGATTTCTTTTAACCCAATCTATGAAAACATGACAAAATAGAAAAAATAACTCAGACTGTTTCTAATAACTCCATCCAAATGTAGCAGAATAACGGGCTGGAATTCAATGAAATCTCACAGAATCACTGAATGGCCAGGGTTGGAGGGGACCTCAAGGATCATGAATCTCTAACCTCCCTGCCACAGGCAGGGCCACCAACCTCCCCATTTAATACCAGACCAGGCTGCCCAGGGCCCCATCCAGCCTGGCCTTGAACACCTCCAGGGACGGGGCATCCACAGCCTCTCTGGGCAGCCTGTTCCAGCACCTCATCACTCTCACAATAAAGAACATCTCCATGACATCCAACCTAAATCTCCCCTCCCTCAACTTAAAACCATTTCCCCTTGTCCTGCAGTTATCAACCTTTTCAAAGAGTTGATTCCCCTCCTGTTTGTTGGCTCCCTCTGTTTTGTATGTCTGCTT